TGTCCTTTCAGCTCCTCTGCAAAAAAAAAAAAAAGTGTATAATGAGCATAGTTTGCCCGCGTTTCATTAACTTCTGTGTAATTATCTTTACTATGACTCCATAAAGCATGGCTTGAAGTTCGCTACGGAGCTTACTCAGCCCTTAGGGGTACATTAGATTACTCTCTCGGTGCCAGTTTACTAAGGTTATGACCCTTTTTTATGCTTGCTGTTTTAGAAGCTCAAGCTGTGTACAAACAAAGTAAATCTATCACATTAAAATTTCTTTAAAAGGACCAAAGGGGTTTCCCACAGGGGGAATAAGGTCTTATACTTCATTTATTTAGGATGTTGTACTGAACTCTGTTAGATTTGAACATTTTTTTCCCCTTTCTCTCTAGGGCCATGCAGAAAAAGTATGCCACAGGCAGACCGGATCAGAAGGACCTGAATGAAAACTTAGCTGCAACACAGGGCCTTGCTCATATGATCATGGAGTGCAATCGTCTCTTTGAGGTAGAGCCAGTAATTGAGAATTGCCAAAAACAATTTCATGCCTGGATGTAACACCCTCTCCTGAATTCATTTGGATCTAGTCTGACCTATAATTTGGTTTACCCATTAGATCCCTCATGAGATGGTTACTCAGTCGCGCAATTCTTATGTGGAGGCCGACTTGCATGCACCGACAATTGATGAGCTGTGCAGACAGCTGGAAGAGGATGATGGAACATATCAAACACATTTGGAAGGGAGACTACAAACTTTCCTTAAAGAGGCCAGAGAGAAGTCCAAATATTGGGTGTCATGCAGCAGTTCAGATAACACAGAGCTGTACTACAAAAAGGTTGGTGGTCTTTTTTCTGTTTTTGATCTTAATTTGCTGGTCATTTTGCCCCTTCTGCATTTCCTGCTTTTGTAGGTTTTCGCATTCCACATTTTTGGTCATAAAACAAAGTCATCTGTTGCAGGGGAGCATTTCATGCCCAATTTGGCAATTAGTGATTTGAAGTAACTTTCTATAATTATTTTAGCTCTCTGTTGAATATATGCAGCTGGATGTTGCTTAGAGTTATTTCTATGTACATTTGTGTCATAAACTGGTGTAATGTACTGATTTTAGAAAATAACTTTATTTATGGGTACCAAATGAAAGTTGAGAGGGATGAAAGGGCAAGGTTTGACAACAAAATGGGAGTTTGAATCGTCAAAGTGCAAATTCATCTGGCACCCAACATTTGTTTGTACTCAATTATATATCAGCAAACCAAAAATTAGTGATTGCCTTAACAAAATATTTAAAATGAATTAAATTTAACATGTTTGTGCTTTTTTTTGGCAGGTGGGGGATGGAAATCCTCTAAGACGTTGGCGAGTGTCTGTAGAAGTGGAAGCGCCGCCATCCGTTGTGTTAAACCGCGTACTGCGGGAGCGCCACCTGTGGGACATGGACCTGCTCCAGTGGAAAGTGTGTGAGACGCTGGATAAACAAACAGAGGTGTTTCAGTACGTCCTCAGCCGCATGCCTCCTCATCCCAGTAGGGATTTTGTAGCTCTCAGGTGAGTAACAGCTAAAAATAAATAAACGACACATCATCTTTTAATTCTAATAGGCTAAATCAAATCTAAAATTTGATTTTGTGTTTTCTTCTTCTTTTTTTTTTTTTTTTTTTTTGCAAAGGTCTTGGAGGACAGACTTGCCCAAGGGTGCTTGCTCATTGGTTTCTGTATCCATAGAGCATGAAGACTCCTCTGCTACAGAAGGAGTTCGAGCTATGATCCTGGAGTCAAACTACCTACTGGAACCGTGTGGCTCCGGAAAGTCAAGACTAACTCACATCTGCAGAGTTGACTTAAAGTAAATCTAAAAATAATTTGTCCTAGAATTTTCAGACTTATACATCTAAATCTAAATCACAAAATCAATGCATTTGCCTTGTGTTGTTATTTAGCGTGCGGTATTAAGAATATGGTTTTGATTTCAGGGGAAGGACTCCAGATTGGTACAACAAAGCATTTGGTCATCTTTGCGCTGCAGAAGCTGCCCGGATCCGCAATTCCTTCCAGCCGCTGATCGCAGATGGACCAGAAACCAAAATCTGAAACTGTTATGTCTGTTAAGCTTTGAGATCGGGACTGAGCTGTTGAGTCGTTGCTAAAAGCCTCACATGAATTGCACAGACAGTTCCCCTGAACAAAAGCACAGCTTGTTTTCGTGAAAGAGCTCTGAAAACAGTTTCAAGCCTTTCAACTTGCACATGGGCAAAGGAGGATATTTTTAGGTGCTGAGCATAATTCATTTGGGAAATTAATTAAATTGCCAATGTCTTTCACTTTATAATTTTATTTAGCTTCTGTTGTGATTTTTTTTTTTTGTTTAAATATAAATATGTATTGGTGTTATTTACAATGTCCAGGACATTCAAGCTCTTAAATGCTTCTGAGAAGCATTAGTTAATCAGTACAGATTTAAGTAATATAATTATCTAAACCCAAGTGTTTGTATATTTGTGAGTGAATATTTTGTAATTAAGAACAAATTGTACATTCTGTACATATGAGAACAGGTAAATAGTACATATGTTAATTTCATATATTGATTCTTACATGGTCAGACTTCTTTTAATATACACGGTACAGGATTGTAAGCTGGTTTTACTTTGGTCATGTAATGACATTTTTAAATATGTGTAATTTTATGTAACTTTGACCTCCAATAGTTGTGGAAAATAATGACTGAAGGTTTGACTTGATCATACCTGCTTTATGGTACTGGCTCATACAGTCAGGTACAAGACACAGTCTTGTGCTTTTTTGTTTTTTTGTTTGTTTTTTAATAAAACTATCTTTATTATAAGACTTTTTTGTGCAGATTAATTCTGAATCTTACCGTTGTATCAAGACATAAATCATAGTTGGTACTTGACAGCAGCTCACCCTGAAGGGAAAGGTAGAAATTCTCCAAAAATATGTTGACACCAAACTGTGCTGGTGGTGTTCAGTCCTCACCTTTGATTCCCGACACTTGATCAGAGAATCAAAGGTGAGGTTTGTTCATTCTGTAGACCTGTGAATGCATTTAATGGCATGTTGAAGACAATAGAAATTCTGCTGACAGCATCTATACAATCAGTAAGATAACTATATATTATGAGAGATTGAAAAAAACAAAAACAAACAAAAAAAAAAAAAAGCACAATAATTTTTGTAAAACTGCAGAAATTATCTCAGCTCTGGAGTTAGAGGGACCTCTACTGGACATTTAAGGGGAACACATCCGCTGGGAGACATCAGAGACATTTAGTTTGATATTAAAATTTTAAAGTGATCCAAAATTTACTGAATAATTTAGCTGTTGTGACTTATACCTTTTTATATCTTATATTGAAGTAAGACTAGAGAGGGGAAAAAAAAACCTCAATATTCAACAGAGAAGTAAACATGACTTTCAAAATTAAATACGTTCAGCTTTAGCAGATTTTTAAAAATAATAAATAATAAAAACAGATAACATGTAACAAACCTTTATTTTCTGTCCCCTATTCTAAATATTTGCAATCTACAACTTAGTAGATGGGTTGAATGAGCTACTGATACAATAAAGACAAAGTGATACTTACTGAGTTTGTTAGTCAGGACTTGATGCACCGGATTATTTTAATAGAAAGTTAAGTCTAGCTTCAAACATTGAAATAATTGTTTGAAGCTAAACTTAAAATCAAAAATCAGTTTAACAAAAACCTGAAATTGAAAAAAAAAGACTAAGAGAGGGAGTATTTATCTGTTAAGTATGACTATGTGTGGGCAGGATATATTAGGCAGCAAGCTGACTTTTTTTCTTCTTCTCAAAACGGATGGGTTTCAGTAAGAAAAGCAACAACAATTTGACAAGGACCAAATTGTGATGGCTAGACAACTGGGTCAGGACATGTCCAGTACTGCAACTCTTGAGGGGTATTCCAGATGTGCAGATGTCATATGTATCAAAAAAGGCTGAAGGAAGGGACAGAGGTGAACTGCCCAAAGTGAAGGCTGCCCTCTGTGGTCTGATCAAAAAGACAAACTGCTTTACCTCAAGCTGCTAAAAATCACCTCCATTGTAAATAGAGTCCACTTGTATGTAGTTTATTCTGAGTATACACCCAACTGTTCTTATAAGCCTTTTAGGAAATTTAATGAAGTTTATTGGTGAACTTTGTCTTATCTTTATTCTCAAGAATAAACAGAAGAAGCTAAATAGGGTTTTATTACAAAATAGCATCCCAAACTTTGACATCTGGTGAAGCACTGTTCAATCCATCAACCCAAAATATGAGGAGCATGGCACAACTCCAGATCTACAGAGTCATGGTGGAAACATCAGAGATGGGTGACAAAATATGAAAAAGCTTAATGGGTATGAATATATTTGAAAGTCACTATTTAGTAAAAACAGCCTTTGTTATTCACAACCAACAAGATGTCTTGTTTTTTTTTATAAAAATTTTCCTCAAATATAACTTAACTGGCTTGCAGTTCAAAGAATTTAAGTCATAATTTTATAAGCCTTTACAACTGTAAAATATATTGCATAGCTTTGATTTTTTTTTTTTTTAAGTAACCATTAAAAACATCCACAGCATCCAATACCATTTACAATTAACTTCTTTAGGTGGTCATTGCTAAGTTTGTAAATACACTGAGAATGCCCTTGAAAACGCTGGAAGATGTGGAATGAAAGTGGTGTCATTGTGTGCACCTGCGTCAGGTATGCTTTGGCTACTATTTTTGTTTTGCCATTAGGCAGTTCAAGATAAAGCTTGAACTGTCTGATTTAAATTCCCAAGAAAACAAGTCCAAATATTTAGAAAATTACATTTATAGTAATATAGTCTTTTTTTCCCCCTTTTGGTCTATTACTAGAAACTTCAATAAGCTTGAAGCCACCAGGACGCGCTCCATGTAGCAACCAAAAGAGGAACCGCAGCCAGGGGGCGGCAACATGGCGGTGACAGCGGCTGCAGAGAGGAGAAGCGCATCCAAAAGATTCACACACACACACACACACACACACACACGCACTCAGCTTTGTGTTCACAGCGCAGGTCAGTCAGCTTGCTTAACCTGCTGGTACCAACAACACACTCCCTTAGCCGAACTCTCCAGAGTGGATTTCTCCCAACAGGAAGAGGCTTCTTTTGCGGTTTTGCCTCTGTTTTCTCCTTGCTTCTCAAGTGTCTTTCGCTCTCTTTTTTTTCCTTCTTCTTCTTCTTAACGCTCTTAACCAGTAATTAAACACAACACGAAGAGACGGGGGAGAGCCTTTATCAGTGTTTCATTAAAACCTCAGGGTTGGCGTGGAAATGACAAGCGAGAAGCCGGTGGCAATGCCGGGCTCGCTGTCGCTCTCGGACCGTCAGCCCGCTCCAGGTCACGGGCATCGCGGAGCTGCGGTCCCCGCTGCTGCCACCGGGAAGCCAATGATGATGTCCGGCTCAGGTTCAGTGGTCCTCCCGGCAGGCATGATCAACCCTGCGGTTCCTATCCGGAATATCAAGATGAAATTTGCTGTTCTTATTGGACTCATCCAGGTCGGCGAGGTTTCCAACCGGGATATTGTGGAGACGGTGCTCAATCTGGTAAGTGCCCCTGCACATTATCTCCTGTATGACTGGACATTATCGCTCAAATCCACACCTGGAATTATTTCTGAAAGCAGCGTTCACGTATTATTGCGTATCATTCTTGACACATGGCCTGTGAAAATAAGGACTTGTTTGCAGTACAAATGGCTTGACATTTGCGAGAGAATCTTCAACGTGAATATTACAGTCACTCATTTAAACGGTAGCCTGTTGGAGGAAAACTGAATATAGCAAAGTAATTAATGAAGTTTTTAACTTTAGAAAAGTCCAGGAATTTACGTGCACTTGTTTCAGTGAGGAGTTTAAATCCAATGGTCACTTAAGATTTCAGTGTTGTGGTCATGATAAGGACATGCATCTGCTGCTTGTGGTTGTGACAAAAGCATATTGAGGGATCAAGATATGATTGTCACAGTACTCCAGATCAGGCAAGTCCATAACTGCTGTAACACTTGTGATAGGCAGAGGCTGGTATGAAATTCTTGGGGTACAATAACCTAAGTTAAAAAATTTAAAATGCAAGCAACTCCACCTTAACATTGTAATCAATTTAGCTATACTACTGTTATCTATTAATTTTGAGACCTAAATATGGTTGTAGTTTCCAGTAGCTTATTACACAGAATCTTGTGCAATAATTACAAGAAATCTTTTTTTTTTTTTTAAGTTTCCTCTTTAGCTAAGCATAAGTCTAACAAGCTCATATTGACTGGTTAGTCAGGCTATCTGCTCCAGACACTGTTAATTCAAGATTGATAGCTGGCTCTCCCATCGTTTCTACACTACAACATCTGTTTTTCTTTTAAGATCTAAAAACATTTACAAGAAGAAGAAGCTGAATTCTGTTATTTTTGGGAGCAAGCAAAGCTTTTAAATCCAGGTAATCATAAATGTGCGTCTTAGTAAATTTGGCTATTGTTGAAAAGGTAATTTATCTTAGTAATTCAATTTAAAAAGTGAAACTCATAGACAACCAAAGTAAGGTATTTCCAGCATTTATTTATGTTAAAATAAATGTCACTTACAGCTAATGCAAACCCCAAAACTCTGTTTTTTAGAAATGGTTCATATTACATGGATTTGGGATTTTTTACTTGTCCATGTGCAGTACAGTGTGTACAGTACTTGGTTGGGGCTTCTTCTACTTGGACGTAATTCGAGCAATATGTGGTGTGGCACGGAAATGATCAACCAGACGTCTTCTTTCAGCCAGCTGACTGGCAGTGGAAAGCAAACAGTTTTACTCTGTGGAACACGTAGAAAAAACCCCAATCAATCTGGGACTTTCTCTGGAATTTTATTATAATCACTGAAAACTGGAAAAAGACTGCTGGAAAATTTGAGTGGTTTTGGAACTGTAACTCAAGCCCCTCTCATCAGAGTACAATTATTAATCAAATTTCTCATAATTCAGCTTTTTGACACCAAATTGGATTATGATGGATTCAAATCTGAAACTTTTATACTGAAGTCATTTTATTGTTTATTTAAAATTAAATAAAACCAGTTTCCAGCTCGTGCTTTGACCATCTGCAGCAGCTCTACAGTCTGTTTGCAATAGTTGGCCTCTCCTTGTTAGCACACCAGAGATTAATTACAACCTGTTCTAGCTCAACAGAGACCCACTTTGTGGAGCAGAACAAATTGTAGCCCTTGGCATGTTCAGACATGAGAGCTATTCTGCAGGAGCTGGAGTCGCTGACACCTTGGCCCTTCTCACTTTGCTGTGCTGTTTTCAAAGAAAATCACACTCTGTTGTATGATAATTCTGATTTTTTTTTACTCCAACCTGATGGCCGTGACATGATTGCACATTCATTTTTCATAATTTTCTGCTTGATGAATTTACTCTGTGATTGACTTTGTGTTCATGCATTTTTTTTTTTTAAGTTCTTTGTGCTCACTCTTCAATACAACACTAGATTTTAGCACTGGAGCGATCTATTCAAACTTTTTTTTAAAGTTTTCTATCAAACCAGTTTGAAACTTTTAAATGACAGATTTAATTAAGAGAGTATTGAAGCTCAGTTGTCTTTCATTTGTAGATACCAGTTCAATTAGATTATGTCTGGTAAGAAAAGATTGACGTCAGTCCAAGCAATGAAAGATTTAGTGCAATGATCGTAACACCAGATTATAGTTGTTATTCTATCTGCCTTTTTATCTAAATTACATCAGAATTTCTGCATCACACATTTATCTTCAAAAAAGCTCCGATGCAAAGACAGTTTTGTTGAATTCTTTGAGAATATATATATATATATATATATTTTTTTTTTTTTGTTTTACTTTTTTTTTGCATACAAATTGAGATCAAATTTCAAATTTGTCTGAAGATTCCGAGATTTATGCTATAATTCTCCTCAGGGATCCTGAATCATCATGTTCAAAGTCAATTTCATTCCTATATTGGTAAGATTGGGCTTTTAAGAGTGTGTAGCCTTTACTCACCATTTTCTGTGATACTCTTACATAATATAGAGTTTACTTTAATATTATGTCAAATCATTTAGCTTTTTAATATCAACCAAAAACATAACTATTCGAGATTTTACTGCCATCTTTGAATTATCACACTGCATCTGTAGGCTATTTTGCTTCTCTGCCAGTGTTTTAGTTTCAACGTAAACCATAAAAAAGTCACAAATAAAAGCTATGAATAAACAAATGTCCATGTCCATGAGGATTTTCTCAAGTACAAACAACCACAAGGCAGCAAAAATCATGTTGAAATTTGTGAGTGGAATTTTTACATTCATATCAAGTAAAGCATTTAGTCTATATAAATGTTTTTGAAAGGATGTGTGCATACCACAAACAGGATAATTTGATGTTTTATTTAACAAATAAACCGTCTCATTAAAAGACACAGAAGTCGCAAATATTATTGATAGAAAGAGTTGTTTTTTTATTTATTGTGGCATTTTATTTATAATACAGCTTCTTGAAAAATAAATGTTTTAATTGTAAGTGATGGTATAATTTTTATTCCATATTTATCGATGGAAGCACAAGTTAAGTCTTTCAGTGTAGCTGTGCTGTTCCGACTGCAGCTTATATATATATATATATATATATATATATATATATATATACATATATATATATATATATATATATATATATATGTGTCATATGTTTATGATTTAAGGTCATAGTAAATAACTTCAAAAATGGCTGTAGTCGTTTGTGGAATTGAAATAGTTTTCTCTGATTATATTCCACTTGATTACATGTTAACAACTATATTGGACATGTTCCAGCTGAGATCGATCGAGTCTGTGCATATTAGACAAATAGCATGGCGATACCATGAAAGGCTTGTTTCTGTATGTGTTCGAGTGGCTATAAGCTATGATTCGCACTCTGCTCCTCCTGAGTCAGTTACACACTCTGATCAATATTGGATCAATATGTTCTTTTACAGATTTATAAATACAAGTTTTTCTTCTGAATTCCCCTCTCTAATGGGAACTGTTTTGGATTATGCCACAGGCTCTATTTGTGATCTCCACTGTTTTACGTTTCTCCGTTTGGCCATGTTTTGGCATTTCCGGTAGGGCTAAGGGGACGCAGTTTGCTGTGACATGAACCACGCCGCTGAGCTTGGCATGTTGTTGCAACTTTGAGACACATTATATGAAGCAATTAAATAGATGTTTCATTAATTGAAAACACGAGCCTCATGTCTTGTTGATATGCTGTAGCTCTTTGCATTCGTCCCCCCGTGTAGAGCAGGTTAATAAAAGATGGTGATGTACCTACATGGAACAAGTGAGTGTCGTTCCGATGTTGTCGTTGTACCGCCTGTTGTAGTTTGTTCATGCTAAATGCCCTAATAATGAGTTAGATTCTACGTTAGTTAGGAATAGCAGTGTGTACATCAACACGTTCTTTTCTCGTTGAGCCTTTTTATTCATTCCCATTCAGAACACTTACATTGGAAGGGGGGGAGGTGTACGATATGCAAACACTGTGCTTCCTCAGTTGAGTTTATTCAGTTTGAAGCCATTCAGTTTCCCCCAATCACATTTTCCTTTCCTCTGATCTACTTCATGATAATCTTCTTAGGATTTGAGAGAAAATTGAAATTCTGACGCTGTGCAAATTTGTTTGTTTTAAAAGTAATTTCATTCAGCTGTCAATTGGTTCAGCGACATGACGATAATGCATTTTCTTGTCCTCAGTCAAGGGCAAGGTAAGGGATTGCACTTTTTTATTTTTTGCCCTGTCTGCAAATATTCTGTGTCTCTCTGAACATCCAAGATCAAGTGCATTTCAGTAGTAGTTTTATCTAAATGTTCTTTAATTCAGATCAAATTAAAAACGGCCAAACGCATTTTGATCTCACTGCTCATATGCTATGCAGTTTATTAGGTTGTTGTCAGTAGTTTAATCAAGTTTACCTTGAGTTTCAAAGCTCGGATATATTACTTATATTGAAGTGTAGATAAATTGTCTGTCAACCTGATTACATCAGCAAAAATATAGCTTCTGGGTACAGAATCTTTTGATTTAAGGATAACCATCAGTGCCTTTAGGAAATGCCGAAGAGTGAGGTCAGATGACTTTGCGAAAGCTGTAAGTCTGTTATCTTTGTTTTTCCCTTTGGTCTCGCTCCTTTCTTGCTATTCTCATTCGTTCTGCTCACTCATGCGTTCCTACCCCAGAGAGATGCCAATAGTATATTATTTGGCTGCTGCCTAAATTAGTGTCATGGCTCATCCCAGGAAGCATCTCCCAGCTCAGTGGGGGAATGTTGCTAAGAGAACAACTAATTCCTGGTTGTGGGAACTTTATGGGTTAAGACTTTTTTTTTTTTTTTTAGTTTCTTGATAGAAATATGCTGAACTCAGAGTGATGAAATATGTGAAAAGTCTTGCTGAAAGAGATGACAATAATATAGACTGACTTAAAGATAACAGTGAGAATTGCATTTTTTATCTTTCTGCTTGATGTTTTGCATTTAAACCATTTATTCATAATGATTTTAG